GTTCGAATTTTTATTTTCACCTATATTTCAACCATTGAAAAATGTGTTGTTGGAATCGTCAAAATTCAACGGAAATTCAAATAGAAAACTCATTTCAATGGAATATTTTTGCTGAAATTTCTGAAAAATTCCAACGTAAATAATAACATTGAAATATCAATTGGAATTGATGATGGAATTCCATTAGAATATATTTCCGTTGGAATTTTCCATTGAAATTTCTGAAAAATTCCAACGTAAATAATAACATTGAAATATCAATAGGAATTGATGATGGAATTCCATTAGAATATATTTCCGTTGGAATTTTCCATTGAAATTTCATCACATTCTTGTAGTTTAAAAGTAATCTTTGAAAATCTCATTTGAAAATCTCATAATCGGAGGTGAGATTTGCAGTTCTATTTCACAATCCTTATAAATCTTATAATTGAAGGTGAAATTTGCAGTAATATTTCATATGTCGAGTTGGATTTCGCACTACAAGAAAATGATGAAATTCCAACAGAAATTTATTCTAATAGAATTATTCCAACGACAATTCCTACAGATATTTCAATACTATTATTTTCGTTGGAATTTTTCAATTGATTCCAACGGAAATTCCAACAAAATTTTCCGTTGAAATGAGTTTTCCATCGGAATTTCTGTTGTAAGTTGACGATTCCAACGTTGGATTTTTCAACGGGGGTGGAAATAAAAATTCCAAGAAAAATTGCATATTCCAACGGGAATTCCTATGGCAAAAAACCGTTGGAAATATAGTCGTTGGAATCATCAAATTTCATCTAAAATTTCAATGGAAAACACATTCCAACGAAATATTTCCGCTGGAATTTCCGTTGGAACTATTCCAACGGAAGCTATACCATTTGAATATCTGTTGAAATTTCTATTGAAATATATTACCATAGGATTTTCCGTTGGAAAATAACAATTTTTTTGTAGTGTCCTATGTGGATTTTGTTCGTGAAATCTCATGAAGTCTTACCAAATCCAAACAGATCAAGTGATAAATAAATTGAATATATATCTCATGACATTTTATCACTTTTTTAAATGAATATATTTTTTTAAAAGTCTTATAAATTCAAGGTAAATACACTAGAAAATCCCCAAAGGGCGCGACTGACTAAAGAAAATATTGGGTTTTGACTGATCAACTTTTTTTTTTTTAAAAAAAAAAAAAAATTAACTTAAATTTAATCTAACCCAACTCTTCGCACAATTAAACAGTTTAAATTAATTATGCTCACACGTCATATCAATTTTGACCAACTATTCATCCACTAACATTTTTGTTATTATGTATAATTTTTAATAACATATCTCATATTTTTACATTACATATTTATATCTACTTTAATCATTATATTTTAAATATTATTTAAATACAAATTCAAAATCTCACCACATGTTCATTCAAAATTAACTCACTTAACCAATAAACTCAATGAGAATTGATTTTAGCTAAGTTTAATCGCGCCCTAGAGTCTTTAAGAATTCGGAATGAAATCATATATAAGAGCATCTCCAAGAGCCTCTCTATTTCTCTTTTTTTATCTAAAAAATAGGGATTTTCTCTCAAAAACTGTGTCCAACAGTTCCCCTAAACTTGGTCCTATTTTTAGGGTGACCTCAAATAGAGGCTTCTCTTCCTCATTTCTGGGGAGGGAAAAACCACCCCCCATTTCAAATAATAATAATAATAATAATAATAATAATAATAATAATAATAATTTAAAAAGAAATAATATTATATTAATACATGAAAAAATATAAAAAATAATTAATAATAAATTACTAATAATAATAATTAAAATTAAAAAATTAAAAAAATAAAAATTGTTCAAAAAAATAATTATTTGATTAAAAATTAATAAATAATAATAACAATTAGTATAATAATAATAATAATCTAAAAAGAAATAATATTATATTAATAAAGGAAAAATTATAAAAAATAATTAATAATAAATTACTAATTATAATAATTAAAAAAATTAGTGAATATTATAAAATTAGTTAATTACTATTATAATCGTTAACAATTACAATATCAAGTGGGCTTCAAGTGGGCTTTTAGATAGATTTGTGGGCCTGGTTCATATTCAAATTATAAAATAGAGAGACTCTTGGAAAACAACAAAAAATAGGAAGCAAATGGATATAGAATGACTCCTTATTTCTCCAAATAAGAAGTCTAAAATAAGAAGTCTCTTGGAGATGCTCTAAGTATAATGTCCATATTTGAACAACAAATATGCCAAAAATTTTGATGCAGTTACTTTTTTTTCGAAAAAAATAACATCCGTTTTAATTCTGAATCATATAGTCAAAGTCCAGAAATTTGCACAAAATGTTTCAGCTAAATTTGTTATACGAACTCAAATACTAGCTTGCACGGAGCAATCTATTTATATCTGAACCTTTTTCATACCTGCTATTTTTTTTAAATGATATATTATTTGTCAAAAATAAATTATAAATATATATGTTGTTATCACATTTTTTATGTATCAAGAATTATTTCAATACCAACCTAGCAACTGAAACAACCAAACCTTTCTAGAAAAACAAAACTCAACATGCAACTAACTAACATAGGAGAACTCAAGCAAATTAGAAAAGACAGAGCCAACAATAGCCTTCTCGGCTTGCCACTGATTCTTGAAGACCCAAAGATTTCTAGATTTCGATAACCACCACAAGATGTAGGTGGTTAATTGAATCCTTTTCTCAGGTACATTGTTTTTGTCATCAGGCATATTTCATTCCGTCAAGCTTTGAAGCAGTTTATATCCTATTGCATTCCAACTCACAGGTGCTAACCTCAAGACCATCTTAGCCCTAGGGAAATTGGAAAGCAGGTGTTCTGTTGTCTCATTTTTTCACCACAAGATTTGTAGATGTTGTCCACTTTCACACCTCTTTTGTTCAGGTTGATCTGGGAAGGAAGGATTCCAGAAAAGCACTTCCACATGAAGTGCTTTATCTGCTTCTTAACTTTAAGCTTTCAGCTGGTACTTCTAACTTTTGCTTATCCATATGGATGGAATGCTTGATTCAGGGATGTCTAGACCAAGAACTTTGTCGTTGATTAAGAAGTCATAAGAGGATGCCATAGAGAAATTACCTTTCTTGCTGAATTCTAGACAATCATATCCTTTTGAGTTCTGTTATTAATGGTGGAGATGCTGAGGATGGCTTCACTGTCTGTCTGAAGGATTGAAAATTTGCCTGATTAGATCTTCATTCCAAGTCTCAGAGTTGTGCATCATTAGCTTCCAGACCTATGTGAGGTTGGTGGGTGCAAGAGGTCCCTTCTGCTTGGTTTGTGATTTTGAAGTGATGGGACCCAAGGGTGGTCCCAAATTTTTATATCATTACAATCTCTGATGATCACAACCAATTCATGCTCAAAAGTTGAATTCACACTCAACCAGCTCTTCCAAAGCCAAGAACTGCTTTGTTGATGTTTATAATCAAGAAGGTAACAGTTTGGGAAATATTTACTCTTAAGGACCTTACTCATAAGCAAATTTGGTTTAGAGCAAACTCTCCACAGTTGCATTAGAATAAGGGCCTTGTTGACGAGTTTCAGATCAGTAAAACCAAGACCACCATTCACAGTAGGTAAAGTTAAGTGGTTCCAGTTTTTCCAATGTAACCCGCTATCTTGATTCTCTCCCTTAGACCACCAAAAGTTGGCAATTAATTTAGAAATTTCACTACAAAGACCTGAGGGAAGGAGAAAGCAAGACATCACAAACATAGGCAGGGCATTTAGGACAACCTTAATAAGGATTTATTTACCAAGTGATGATAGAATTTTATTCTTCCAAATGTGGACTCTTTTTTTAACCACCTCAATGACAAAGTTTAAAGTTCTTTTTTAGACTAACCAATCCCAAAGGGAAGCCTAAGTATCTGGTTAAAAATTGGATTTGTATTCCATTGAGGAGCCTAGAGATATGAAATTGAATTGAAAGAGGGGTGTTTTTACTAAAAAAATATAAAAGATTTTGACAGATTAATTTTTTTCAGAGTAAATGTGGCAACTGTGAAGTATGTTCAAAATGTCAGAGGCTTGAAGGGCTGAGGCTTGACAAGGAAGCATGGTATCATCTGTAAAGAAAAGGTGGGAGATGGTAGGGCTAGATCTTAGAGATTTTTAGCCCTTTCAGGGAACCTTGAAGAATTTATATTTCCAAAAGACGAGAGGAGCTCAGAAACAATAATGAAAAGGTATGGGGAGATGGGATCTCCCTGCCTAAGCCATCTAGAAGGGGAGATAAACCAACACTTCTGGCCATTAAAGTAAAAAGAAAAACTTGCGGAAGAAATGATGGACAATATCCAATTAATAAATTGGTAGTGGAAGCCCATTTTTCTCATAATGGCTTTAATGCATGGCCACTAAATTCTATCAAAGGCTTTCTCCATGTCGAGCTTGATAGCCATAAATTAAGTAATTTAAACTTGATCTATGTCTATTAGTTAGATAATGAATGGGTTCCAGAGCAATCGCAACATTGTACAAAAGCTGCCTTTCTGGGATGAAAACAACCCGGTTTTCACTAATGCAAATAGAGAGACAATTTTTGAGTCTAGAAGTAAGAATTTTGGAAACCATTTTATATGACACACAACACAAATTGATAGGCCTGAAGTTTTCAACCTTAGTGGGGTTATGAGTTTTAGACACAAGAGTGATCAAAATATGATTAAGGATTTGGACATATGACCGGAATTGATGAAAAACTTGAAAGAGGTACAAACATCATTTAATTTCACCTCTAGCCATCAACATTTCCAAATTCAAGACTTATTCTAAGTTTTTTTTATATTATTTTTAATCTCTATTATCACAATTATTCAAACTCAGCTAAATGTACCAACAAAACTCACATTTCGCAACAGTTGAGTTGATTGAGATCATCACAAGAAAGAAAACATGTCATGACAATATTATAATCTTTGTGCTTGGAATGAAAAATCTAATCTTTGATAAATTTCACATTTCCGTAACTCATTCCTTCGCCGGTCTTATCTTTTGCTTTCGCGCCTCTTCTTTTCTTCAGGAATTTAGTGAACCACAGAGCCGAGCTCTTTGGATATCTCGTGAGATTATTCATGAAGTCAATGTAGACGAGCCCAAATCTAACGGTGAACCCTTCATACCACTCGAAATTGTCGCAGTACGCCCATGCGAAATAGCCCTTTACATTCACGTTCGTCTCACTGCAATTCCAAAACAAAAAATTAACTAATTTTGTAGCAAAATAACACAATTGATCTCAATCATATATATAAAAAAGTAAGATAAGAAATTAGACATATATATAAACTTACTTCATTGCTTTTAGAATGTATTGAAGATGGTCTTCATGGTACTTAACCCGAGTTGTGTCAGCACAAACATCATAAGATGTAAGCTTACAGTCATATTTGTCATCAACGCCTATACGAAAAAATAATAATAATAAAAAAAATTATAATAATTTAGATGCTAATTTTTTTTTTTTTTTTTTTTTTTTTTTTTTTTTTTTTTTTTTTTTTTATGTGAATTTGTAATGAGTTAGTACCGTTTTCAGTTATGTAGATGGCGGGAAGGTCTTTATATGTGTCTTTGATATGCTTCAAGAGCTTGTAGATTCCCCATGGCACTATGTACAACCATGTTGAACCAGCCTGCAAAACACATATGGTATTGATATGCTAAGGACGATCAAACAAACTAGTTGATTTAATTATTATAATTCAATTCATAATCATTTGTGAAGAAAATTAATATACCACAGAATTTCAAAAACGGTCTACTATGTCGACTATTTTCCGAAAAAAAGATCCATCATATAGTGCGTCATCAAGAATGGTCCACTAAGTTACCACTTTAATCAAAATTCATACAATAACCAAGATAGTTTACCAGAAGTGATGGTCATTTTTAGTACACTATGTTGTGGAAACTTAGTGGACCATTATTGATGACACTCTATATGATGGACTTTTTTTTTTTCGGAAAGTGACCAACATAGTGTATTAAAAATGAGATTTAGCAGAAAAATATACAGTTTTTATGGACAAAGAATAGATAATTTAAAATTGGATCCTTACTAATGGTCCAATTAGCTTCCCATTCTTCTCATCTAAAAAAAAAAAAAGTTACTTAAGACATATCAATCAAAATCATATATTTTTTTATGTAATGATCTCAATAAACATTAATAATAATGTAATAGCAAATGATGATAAAAAAAAAAAAATAATAATAATAAAATTAGGTAAGATTTTGTAATTTGTCCAAATGTTAGTACCAAGAAATGCAATTTTTTGATCTTTAAAATAGGACTTCTCTGTGTTGTGGCTGATATCATTGGCCACATAATTGGCTGTGTAATAATTCAAACCCAGAAAATCAATGGAGCCTTTGAGCATTTGAGCCTCCTCTTCTGATAACTGTGCCAGATTTTCTGAAGGAACATATTTTATCATACTTTCTGGATATCTACCGGTTAACGCTGGCTCCAAAAACCTATAATAATTAGAGATAAACCAATTTATTAGATTAAGGATTCAATATATAGATTTTAGTCATACTGGTTTAACGGTGTAACGTTTTTTAGTTCCAAAATTTCAACTTTTTGTCTTTTGGTCATGTAATTTAGTATTTTGCTGCAATTTCAGTCATTTGAGACTGAAATTGCTACAAAATATAAAAATTACAGGAATTAAATTGCTAATAAAAAAATTTATCCAAAAGACTTTTCATTATCAATTTAAGTCCTGTAATTTTAAGTTTTGTTGCACTTTCAGTCCCAAATGACTGAAATTGCGTTGAATTTTAAAATCATAGAACTAAATAGCAAAGATGTTCAATTCTTAGGACTAAAAATACCGATGGATCAAACCAACAGGGCTAAAATTGTAATTTTGACTGTATTTTACCAGCCCAACATAAAGTCCATGGCTCTTTTAGAGGCTGCTATATCATCCTCCGAGCTGTCGTCCAGAGGCTCGTACCATTGGCAGCATAATACCATTCCTATTTTGCCCTCTTGAAGTTCCTATACCAAAATTTTCAAGTCAAAATAATAATAATAATAATAATAATAATAATAATAATAATAATAATAATAATAATAATAATAAACCTGGAATTTTGTCCTGTAAGAATGAACTGCTGCAGCATGAGCGAGTAGCAAATTTCTAGCCACCGTGTACGCATCTCTGGCCGGGTCGGACTCTGAGTAGTTAAAGTAACCGTGGTGACTTGGTACGCTCGACTTTGGGTCGTGAACGGCTCGATAAGTGGTAAGACTCTTTCCGATTTTGTGAGCAGGGGCTGCTGGCTTGCTCGGCGGAAATTTGCCCGAGACATAGCCTGACGTGCAGTATGTCCATGGCTCGTTCACCGTAATCCAGGACTTCACACGATCCCCGAATTCCCAAAAACACAACTCCACAAACTCGCGAAAATCGTTCCTGCTCGATTTTTATAAAAATATATTTATTAGCAATTTTGTTAAAATACTTGAAAAGATTGTGAAAACATTGACAATATATGAAATACTTACACAACTCTCTTGCTTAAAAAGCCACCATATTCTTGTTCTAAGCAGTAAGGGAGATCCCAGTGAAATAGAGTTACATAAGGTTCAATGTCTGCACCATATATAGTAACACATATAATATAATATATATAATAATGCACATATATTGTGATTATCACCATACTTGAAAATTGATATTCAATAATAATAATAATAATAATAATAATAATAATAATAATAATAATAAAGGGTATGAGTCGAGAACGTACCATGGGCGAGTAATGTGTTGATGAGATCATTGTAGAAATTGATTCCTTCTCTATTGATTCCCGCCGTGCGTCTTCCAGCTATTTTTTTTTTTAAAAGAAACACTTAAGTGATTTAAAATTTATGTTAAAAAAAATATATTTTTTTTTGCTACTAGTTTCCACGAATAATATATCGAATTAATTATCTTTTGACGGACTTGTTTAATCTAAGTATCTAACAAATGAAACAAACATAGAGAAATGCTACGGTCCCGTTACGAAACCACTCCGTCGGGATTTGTAATCGTTAGATCAATTATCCCCGACGATTACATGATGATCTAACGGTTACAAACCTCGACGGAATGGTCATGTAACGAGACCGTAGCATTTCCGACAAACATGTATATGATCTTATTGCAAATAATTATCTAAGTAAGATATCTCACCAGGCAAGATCCTTGGCCATGATATTGAAATTCTACATGCCTCAAACCCCATTTTCTTCATCATATCTATATCCTCCTGATTATATCAAATCACACACTACTACTTCAGATAATTAAGATAAATATTATATTCAAAGACTACTTTGATCAACAAAATTTGTAACACCTTGTATCTATGATACATATCCACTGCAACATTCCCATTCGTCCCGTCGAAGATTCTATCTGTATTTTCAACATAATTGAACTTGTTAAAATTAATTATTACTCATTTGAGAGATAAATAATAAAAAAAAAATCACCAATCATATTCACCGCATTGGGAGATGCTACGGTCCTGTTACGGAACCATTCTGTCGGAGTTTGTAACAGTTAGATCAATTATCTTTGACGGTTACATGGTGATCTAACTTTTACAAACCCCGACGGAATGGTTCAGTAACGGAACCGTAGCATTTCCGCATACGAATATACAAATCTTTAGATACAATCAAATATGAGAGAGAGTGAGAGAGAGAGACCTGGAGTCTCCAAAGAGAACACATCCCATACACCTAAGCCTCTTCCTCCTTCTGCTGCAGCGCCTTCAAACTACACAACGTATATGAAAGTCGTAGAATTAATATAATTTTTTATTTTTTTTTCATCAACACCCCTATAATGTGTGAAAATTGTCTTATGTTCCTATATTTTTGGACGGACGGAGTAAGAAGATATAAAACAAAAAACCTGATAAGATGAAGTGCAAACTCCGAACACAAAATCCTCTGGAAAATCATGGCGCCCGATCGTCCCTATGCCCTTCGTCTCCACCGTAGTTATATCGAGGTCGTGGTCACCCTTAAGTACTCCCCACTTGGACGAATATTCGTTCGACTTCAAATTATTAATATCTGCAATTTGCTTTTCCTCGACTTTTGCCGAGCTCGGCCAACCGGGATAAGTAGTCTCCCGGTCCAAAACCCTAGCGTGCTCGTTCAGAAGACTGCATGACCTCGCGTTGTGTCCTGAGGCCATGCACCATTGGCAAACCAAATTCGGGAGAGAGAAAGCGGGCGAATGCGAGCGGATGAACTCATGGCTCACGAGGAAACTGTGAAGCTCGGTGAAGGGGACGGGGCTCGGGCGGGCTGCCAAGCCGAGAGCAAGTTCCCTCAGCTCGGGCCTGAGGCCCCTGAGCACGAGGGCGTTGAACTCGTGGGCGGTGAGGGGACGCCCGGAGGCCGCCAGCTGGCAAGCTAGGTTTCCGGCCCGGTGGAGATAGGGGGTGATGTGGGTTTCACCTTGGTCGAGGGTGATGAGTTGGCGCATGAGGTTGAGGACGTGCGGGTCGTCTGAAGGTTGGTTCGGTTGGGTGGCGAGGTGTGGGCCCACGAAACGGAACAAGCATTTGGCGATGAAATCGGGCAGCATTTTGTGTGTTCCCAACGAGAAAAAGTGGGTGAATGTTGGGAGATTTGATAGTATGGATACTAAGGCGTGAGGTCCTATTTATAGGTGTAATGAGCTACTAATTTTATTTTACCAATGTATGATATGTTTAAAAACTAACTAGCTAGTGAGAATCCCGTGCGATGCACGGAGATTTCGTAATGTAAAATATTTTTGCAACACTTTATTTTAACAATGTATTGGTCCGTTGATCCGTCTATATTAATATAAATAACATTTTAACATATATATTATTTTTTAATAAAAAAAAGTAAGAATTTTACATATTTTGGTTCATCATAATACTCAAATATTATATTAAAAAATTTATTATTGTATAATGTCAATATTATTTATAACATTATAGAAGCAATATTCATTTTTTTATATAATGGTAAATATTTAATATATATTAATATTATTTGTCGATGTCATTAATTTATAAATATATAAGTAAATCTAATGTTTGTTAGGAATGTGATAGTTTTCGATATTTTAGGTACAAATATATGATTTAAATGTATAAATATATGATATGAATTTCTTGGGATACAAAATTTTTTTATGTGATTTATTACTTTAACTAATCATCCGCAATTACCTAAATTGTATCTTTAAAATATAACATAAAATGTTTAAACAGTTTCCAGAATTAGTTAACAACATTTTTTTTGACGAAAAATAATTACTATTTAAAAAATAATCAAACCTTTTGATATAGATATAGATATTATTGTATGATATGATCTATGATATTGTTAATATGAAAAGATCACAAAGGCGTGTATTTAAATATTTAATATTGCTTAATCAATTAAAAATTAGTGTTCAATTAATATCATTTTGAAGTTGCGTTCAAGAGGTTCCAAAAGTGGAATATAGAATAAAATTGATTGATGATAAAGTTGCATGCCCACGAGGGATCGAGAAACTATTCGTGAGAAGCGTGGCAGCTCCACCATGCCGTCGCATTGTCACTTGCAATTCACGTTCTCAACCCTTTTTATTCATTTTATCAACTAAAAAATTTGATAGATAAAGGTCAAAATAGGTTTTTGCTCCCCTAACATATCCCCTTTTTGCTTTCGGTTCCAGTAAAGATCTATTTTCGGTATCTATATATATATTAAAAGCCAACTTATTTACCAAAAATAGTAGCAAGAAAAGTCAACACACATTTAATGCATACCTTATTTGGAAATTTTTTACTATATGCATTAAATGATTGCATATTTACATTTACTATCCATATATGATCTTAAAGATTTTTTTCTTAAATAATTTATGCAATGATTTTACTGATATCCATTATAAATAATATTTGTCGAGTAATATTTTTTAACCTTGATTTAATTATATTATTTATCATTTAAAATATAATGATCATATCATTAAATGATTTTATTGATGGTTAGATAATAAAATTATATTAGTTATTCTTTAAAAAAATTACTAAAATAAAAACCGGCATAAAAAAAATCTCATAACATCCGATAAGTCAAAAAAAGTACGTAAAATCTTTACTAAAATAAAAAATACTATTTATTTGTCTTATTCCATAATAACATCGATTTAGTCAAAACAAATCCCATAATCGGTGAAGTAAAAAAATGTACGTAGAGCCTATTTATACTAAAAAAAATGCAGATTCAAAATGACCGCGCGTCGCAACGCGGCAAAATTAAAATTTATATTTTTCCTTGACTAATCTCTACTAACTAGTAGTAGTGGTGAGCAAGGGTCGATCCCACATGGAGTGTGAATCGAATCGTGAATTTTCTCGTATTTGAATTTATAAAAGCGGTAAATGGGGGGATTGGGTATTGATAATTAAACTAACTAAAAATACTAAAAATATAAAGAAAGGAAATAAAAATAAATATAAAATAAATAAGAGAAATTTCTAGTTCACGGTTTCGTCTACACCCTCGACTGACTCGTCTAATCAATTCTGGTATCAAATCTCGCTATCTATGGAATTACTAGCCCTAGGCAACGACACGGTCTGTTACCCGAATTTTTCCTTATTTTTAATCTAACCGCGAGACGCTCTACGATTAAATCTGACCTCTTGAACAGTATAGGAAACGCTTCCTAAATTTAATTCAATTAGCCGCTTTACGAAATAGAAAAATAGGCTAGACTAAGTAGTGAACTCAACCGCGTTCGTTCACTTAAATAGGCCGTGTTATCCCCGGTAGTTACCATCTTCCGGTTACCTCTTAGGAATTAAACACAACAACAATTACGGATTGAAGGTCTAATTCAGATATAGATATGCAAAGCCTAATCTAGGTGATCAAACTAAACAAGACTAAACACATCATGGTTAATTATTCAAAATAACACAAACAATTCCAAAAAGATAACTCCATAATCAACCATGTAAATCAATCAAACATCATCAAGTACGTAGGGTTCGACATCCCCGGAACTAGAAATAAAAACTAGCCTAACATAAAAAATAAAAATAAATGAAAGAGAAAGAGAATACAATTATCCTCTTTCGTGTGCGGGTGCGGTCTCCCTCCGCGATTGATCGGGCTACTCGTCTTTCTTCTCGCTGTTCGCGAATCCTTTTCTTTCCTTTGCTCTTACGGCTGCGGCTTTTTTCTCTGTCTGTTGCGGCGTGGTCTTTTTCTTTTTTGCGTGAATCCCCAATTAATTTCCATTAAATTGGGCTCATTAGCCCACCAAATCTTCCATGTCTCCAAAACGGACGTGATTAACCCAAATGTCATGTAATGACTAATGACCAATTATTTGTGACATTCAGCAACAATTGATGGGCCCTCTCCCAATTCATATGCATTTTTATTTTTTTCTGTGCCGTTTGGGCGCCTAAGTTAGGCTGATAATTGGGTACGATCTACTCGCCCACGAAAATACTCCAATATCCTAAAAATAAACCATAAAAATATCAAAGTACAAAAATTCATCTAACAAATAAATAATCTTAAAAATATATAAGTGCGATAAAATCAAGCATATAAAAATACGCTAATACATATATAAAATACACACTTTTTCCGACCAATCACAAAATTCCTTATTTAATTTCTGTTTAAAGCATTTTATTTAATATTTATTTATATGAAATATTGGATAGGATTGCTAGATCGGAATCAATTTTGAAATCGCCTTGTTTGGTATGAGAGGATTATCCGCATCCTATATCTGTATAAAGCATATTATTTTATATTATTTAATTAATTTATTTAATATTAAATTTTTTTATCCATGACATCCGTTTTGTCAAAAAAATTGAACAAACAAACAAATAAAAAAAGAACGAGATTAATTACCTTCGACTTGTAAAAAATTTATGGGTGGACGTAAATATTTAACAATGCTGTTTCAAGTTCCTTAAATAATACTATAACTATGATGTTGAAATATAATCTGTTTTATGAGTGGCGTAAATATGCTGTTTAAAGTTCCCTAAAATATTTTTAAAAAATATGTTGTTTAAAGTTCCTTAAATATTAATATATTTAAAGTATACACATGTTGTAATATATTAAAGTCAAAACAATGTTGTAAGGCTTTTGAATTATCTAATTCAAATTATCTAAATTAATTAATTTAAATGTTTAATCTCATTAAATCTTCAATCCATGGAATATTTTTACTAATCCCGTGAGCATGTTGCTTTGTTATTGTAATCAACTTATACACTATTTTACTAATAAATTATTTAATATCTATGTACAAGGAGGTCTTTAATAATATATGATTTTTTTTGTCGGATACTATTTTATTGTATAATTTTCCTGCGTACTATAAAACTTTTATTGAATATTACATTTTATAATATAATATTCCCCAAATAAATGCATCCCGTGTCTCGACACCGGTCCCGTACTATATATATCACGTACATTTTTTTATTCATTTATATAATTATAAGGCTGGATAAAAAAACCTTAAAATTGTGCACCCCGTGCATCGCACGGGCTCTGTACTAGTAAGAAGAAGAAGAAGAATAATAATAATGTATAATTAAAGAGCGTTTGGATGAGATGACTTGTGTCTCTTTCAGCTTAACCAGTGGTCTCGTATTCGAGTCCTGGGAATGCAGCTGTGTTAAAAACTCTTGAGGGAGAGCTTTGCCACCCTTGTGGTCCTACCCGGCTCGATTCCGGATTAGTCGGTTCCCTTGTGGATCCAGAAACCGGAAGTTCCATGTACCAAAAAAAAAAAAAAAAAGAGGATTAAATATAGGCAGAAAGAAGAAGAAGAATTAAATGGTTGTAAATGCAGACAAGAAGAAGAAAAATATATGCTAATTGGTGATAAGGTTTCTGACAAAAAAAGGCACATCTTGCATGTTCAATTTAAGTAAAGAAACAAGTCGATCAATGCGATACGTAACTATTCGAATCATATACGAAATTTGTCTGCATATCGATACGTAACTATTCGAATGATCCGTGAAACATTTTCAGCGGATATGCGATTCGTGATATGGGTCGGGCAAAAAATGGCGCATAATCCTAAATTATGCATCTTTCAATTTGGATATGCGATTCATAAACTATGCAAAAATGCATAATCATAAAATATGCGACGTTCGATTTGAATATGCGACATCTAAATATGCAATAATTTTACGTAAATATATTAAATTATACGGTAAAATTTAGATATGATGCTAAACTAATTCGTATATTCATTAACTATGTGTTCAATTTGGACATGTGAGTCATAAACTATGCGAACACATTTCCCATAATCATAAATATGTGACGATCAATTTGGATATGTGGTATAACTATCTATGCAAAATAATTTCCGCATAACTGTGTTCAGTAAAGTTTTGGAGGGCAAAGGATAACCGAGTTACCCGACTCGGGTTGTTCTCAAAAGGAAGACACTTCGGAGCTTTATCTACTACTTGATTGTCCAAATCACAAAAAGAGAAAATAAAATCCTAAACATGTTAATCAATTGGTTTGAGAGTGGATTTAACACTAAGAGAG